ACTCTCAAAGAACAAATAGAAGCACAGCCTTGATGCTCTGGGTGGGGCAGCTGTGAGCTCCATCAGAAGGAGAATCCATCAGGAATGGAACCAGATCCTCCCTCCACACAGAAATCATAGGGTCACCCTCTCAAAACACAAGTCCACGTCCATCACTGTGTCAGTGGACCATCAGGGACCCTTGCTGTAGCCTGCTAGCCAAGAGGAACAAAGCAGGATCTTCCCTCCTGACCCAGCAGAAGGAGGTGGAACACTGTGGAAATCTGGAAAAGCTTTTCCTTAAACTGGGCGTGGTGGTACATGCCTGTAATCCCAGCACTCAGGGAGTATAAAGCCAATTTAAGCTATATAACAAGACCCTGTCACATCCACCCAACCCCTTAAAAAAAAGAGAGAGAAAATGAAAGAGAGAAAAGAAAGAAAGAAAAGAGAGAAAGAAGGGGGAAGAGAGGATAGAAAGAAAAAAGGTCAAGAAAAGAAAGAAAAGTTAAAATAAGAAAAGAAAGAAGGAAACACCCTCCTCACCCCCAGCACACACACTCTTATTTCCAACTTTCTCACAGCTTTGGAAATCCAAAGAACAAACTGAACACTGCTAGACTTAATGCTGCCTATAAATTCTCTTGCCTATGTGTTGAGAGGAGCCACCCTGACATCATCACTTCCTAGTAACCAGGTTAGTCTTCCACCTAGCCACACTCCTCGGGAAATAGGATGAGACAGCATATGGCTGAGAAGTAAGTGTAAGGCATACAGTTCATATATGCTAACATCCAGGGCAACTTGGAACATGTTGCCTTTGGGGCCACAACTGATACATTCAATTTGTCAGAATGCCATCCCACCTCATTATTATGTCCTTTCCCTCTGCTCCCATCACCCTGTGCAGGAAAAAAACAAAACAAAAGAACAAATAAATACAAGAATAGCTGGAGCTGGGAATGGAGCTCAGTTGGTGGACTGCTCTAGAATGCACAAAGCCCTAGGTTTGATTCTCAGCACCATATGAATCAAGTACAGTGGTGCACATCTGTAATCCCAGCACTTACGAGGTAGATCAGAAATTAAATAGCATTTTTAGCTACATAGCAAGTTCAAGGCCAGCATGGGATAAGACTGTCTCAAAATAATAATAATAATAAAAGAATAACTGAGGCTTGTTACAAGGACAAAAGGGCAGTTCACACTTCCCATATAACTGAGGCCCACAGTAACTATCTGGCACTAAGACACTGCCCCAGAGATGGAGAAAGGAGATAGATGGTCAGGACTCCTCAACCTCCCTATCCCCTCAAGGGTTGTCCTTTTCCAGCCTCTAACTTCGGCCCATAAAGATGGGGAATAACTGTCATTACTCGAGGAGAAATGGGTAAGGCCCAAGCCCACAACTGGCCTGCCTCAATACTGATTTCTCTGGTCAGAGTAGGTGGAGAGAAGGTCAGGAAAGGCAGCTCTGCTCAAGGACCAGCTAAGTAGGTAGAGGGGGACATGAACTGCGACTCACTAAGAACAAATGTGAGAGGTAATCAGGAGGGACCATAAGCAGAAGGAAACATGTAAGAACACTTACTATGCGCCTGATTTCACAGATATTTTCTCAATTAACTGTCACAGTGAAATTATGAGCTACTAGTCCCAATTTACAGAAGAGGAAACAGGCTCCAGGAGGTCAAGTGAGTTCCCAATGACTAGTTGTTGGCAGAGCTGTTACTCAAACCTCTACTTCTGTCTGTTGGAAACCTAAAGACTTAATGCTCAACAACTTCCTTCCCACCTTAGTTTCTCTGTCAGGAAAAAAAAAAAAAAAAATGGGAAGGGGCTGAGCACGGTGGATCAGGAGGCAGAGGCAGGTGGATTTCTGTGAGTTTGAGGCCAGCCAGGGCTACATAGTGAGAACCTGTCTCAAACAAATGGGAAGGGAATATGAAAAGATGATAAAGTTTACAATGTAGGAAAGGCCCAGTGGTGCCTCGCCCCTGTAATCCCAGCATTTGAGAGGGTGAGGCAGGAGGAGTGCCATGAGCTCAAGGACAGTCTTCTCTACATAGGAGTTTCAGATCAGTCAGGACTCCTTAGTAAGAGTGTCTCAAAAAACTAAAACAGTCTGAGTGTGGTGACATATGCCTTTCATCCCAGCACTAGGGAGGCAGAGGCAGACAGATCTTTGTGAGTTTGAGGCCAGCCTGGTCTATATAGCAAGTTCCAGACCAGCTGGGGTTACAGAGAGATCCTGTTTCAACCCCCACCCCCACCAAAAAGAAGAAAAACCCCAAACTCCAAAAACTAAAACAGACCAGATATGGTGGCACGTGCCTTTAATCCCAGCACTTGGGAGCAGAGGCAAGTGGATCTATGTAAGTTTGAGGCTTAGTCTGGTCTACATAGTGAGCCAGGGCTATGTAGTAAAACCCTGTATATAGAAAGAAAAAAATAAAATAAAACCAGAAACAAAAACAACAATAACATAGGAGCATCAACAGTGCCCGCTTTTTTTTTTTTTTTTTTAAGGTCTCATGAAGCCCATACTGGCCTCATGGCAATCCTCTTGCCTCAGCCTCCCAAGTGCTGTGACTATAGAGGTGAGCCACCATAACCAGTATGACAATAGTACTCTTTAGATATGAAATATTAGGCCACAGTTTATGTATCAAGTTTAGAAAGTGACTCACTTTTAAAAAATATATATTTTATTATTTTTATTTTATGTGTATAAGTACATTGCCTGCATGTATGTGAGTGCACCCATGTCATGAAAAGCCACAGAGGTCAGAAGAGGGCTTCGGATTCCCCTGAAACTGGAGTTAAGGACGGTGCGTAGCCACCATGTGGGTGCTAGGAATTAAACCCCAGTCTTCTGCAAGAGCAGTCAGTGCTCTTAACTGCTGAGCCATCTCTCCAGCCCTGAAAGTGACTCACTTTTTAAAGTCAGTTGCTGAAATGACCTGGACAGCCAGCTCCATCTACTGCAGACCATTATCCCACCCCATAACAGGTGGAGGGTAAAGGCAAGAGGCTTAGAGAGAATTATCTAAGCAAAAGACAAAAAGCTTGTCTCCTTATAATGGGAAATTGGGGAAAATAGCCCAATTTCTGGGCTTCCTAGTTAGTGTCCTGTCAAGGTAGAGATAGGTGGCTCTCAGGAAGATGGGCGTATAGGGAACTTGGGGCCAGTGTGGGATGTAGGGCAAAGGAGACTCATGCAGTTCTCCTTCCCATTTCCTCAACAGGGGAGGCTCTGGATGAGAGGATAGTACCCCATCTAGAACTGACCTGTGCTCTCAAAGCAGCAGCCCTAAACTGGGAGAAATCATGCCAGCCAGCAAAAAGCAGGGGAGGCCTCAGGATAGGGGCCTCCTCCTGAGCCCAGGGCCAGCTGTGGGGAGGCCCCCAGCCTGGTCTCAGCCTGTTAGAACTCACTAATGGACAGGAGACTTTCCTGGGAAACAGCTGTTGAGAGGTCAGATAATTGTGAATGAAGAAAGCTGCCTTCCAGATGTCCTCTAGATGAGGCTCTCTAGACTACTGCCACTGTGTTCTCCCATCAGTATCAGAACCAAAAGCTATGAGCTAGGCTGGGTTACCGGCCTTTACAACCAGGGTGGAGTGAATGGGCAGGAAGAAGGCCAAGAGGCTGAAAGCAAGAATCAGAGGGAGTCCATACACAGACTGCAGAGGTATCTCTAAGCCAAGTTTCCACAAGATAATTCCGAGAGGGAATAAGGACTAGGGCTGGGGCCAGAACAAATGGCCAGGCTGCTTTACAACCTAAGCACTGGGCCATACTCTTTCCAAGTAACTAAGGGCTGAGAAAGCCCACCAGGACTAGGTGTGGCCCCACATCTCCCTCAGGCTCCCTGACAGAGAGTATAAATATACCTAACCCCCTATGGCCTGTTCTTAGGAAACCCAAGGTCAATTCCTCTTTCCCTGCTGCTGGTGACAATTTAGCCCTTGGGTCAAAGTTACTGTTCAGGTTTCCCTTCTAATCCCAGGTTGTGCCCAACCCTATTAGTTATTTGTTTTTCTGATCAACAGACAGACAGATAAACACACAGCCTGCCAGGATAGGAACACAGTCCCACAGGTAGGGAATGTGTTCATTTCCCTGTGTTATGACTCTGCCAGGCAGTGGCTACACCAGCAAAGATCGAGCCTCAGGCGCCTCCCATATCTTGGCAAGCACCCAAAAAGCCAGGCTGAAGGGGAAGGGTTAAGCGCTTGATGGCCCAGCACAGACAGCGGCTGCTGGGCTGCCTGGTAGGGCAGCCTCCCATCCATGGCACGACAGGCTAGAGCTCCTCCAGCACGAGCCTGCCAGCCGCTGTCTTTGTTGATGAACTCTGCCACATGCTCCACTGACACACGATGCCCCGCCCTAGTGGGCTGGTGCCAGGGTGGCCAAGCACTAGGCAGAGCACCCGGTCAGCCACTGGTCTAGGAAGACTCTGAGGTACACTACTCAGAGTCCCAGGCCTGGGTTACCAGACACAGACAGTGAGGAGTGGCTCCCCAGCTGGAAAGTGTCAGGTTTCAACCGGTTCCACCACTTTCCCCCACTCAGGCCCCATCTCCAGGCCTGATTACCGGTTTCCCACTGCACCTCAGCCAGGCACAGCACACTCTCCCCCCCCCCCAAACAACTGCTCAGTTTCACTGCAGCATCCTGAAAATCTTTCCCTCTGAATCTGTAAGAGACAAGCCCCCAACTTGGGTCTGGAGAAAGAGTTTGTCAAGCCAGAGAGCAGAAAGACATCCCATTGGCAGAGAGGGATCAGCATCTCCTGGCTCCTGTGAAGTTGAATACGCAGAGCTCAGAGAAACAAGAGTGCTTATCTACTTGTGCCCACCCAGTCCACAGTAATGACAACAGCCAAGGCAAAATCTCCAGATCATATCCTGAGGCCTGGCAATTACTGGGTTACTTACTGACAAGAAGACAGAAGCAAGCCCTTGCCCCCCAGCCCCAGAAGCCTCACCCCCGTCCCAGCCTTCAGGCCTACTTGCTGCATATGGAGCCGGTGGAACTGGTCTGCAATGCACTGAAGCTTTCTGGCGATCTGTACCTCGGCTCGATGTTGCCACTGCCCTTCAGGAGCCTGCTCCCCAAGGGGCAAGCCTGCAGGGAAACTGGTAGGGAGAGGAAGTCGGTAGCCAGCATTGCCTGCAAAAATAGAGGACCCACATCTGAGCATTTTCTACCCCTGGCCCATCCTCTCCATGCTTCTTCTCTTTTTGATGGTAAATCTAGCTTAGGATAGACGGAAGAAGCAGCAGCCTACCTTTACCAGGGCAGTCTGCCAAACTTGGACAGTTGCCCAAGAATATAAAAGTTGCTATAGGGGTTGGGATTGCAGTTCAGTAGAAGCTGAGCATCTAGCATACACAAGGGCCTGGGTTCAACCCCTGCCTGCGCGCATGCACACACACACACACACACACACACACACACACACACACACACACTTTGATGCTAGAACACAAAGGAACAGACCAGCCTTCTTTTCAGCACTCCACTCTCAGTACCATGGCATAGGGCAGGGTGGTAACATGTGGGATGAACATGGCAACCTTCTGTCCTTATTTATCAAGCTATACTTGACCTCAATGTATTATCCATGTAGCATCAGGTTGAAGTTCTCCTCTGGAGAAGCTCCTCAGAGTTCCTGGGTTGAGCAAAGCAAGACAGGAAGCAAAGAGGGAGACCAGAAACCAAACAGACAGAATGGATCTTTACTTGTTTAGTGCAACTAAGGAATGCTGGGCTCAGCACTCAAATCTCTGAGAGCAGCAGCAGAAAAGCAAGTGAGAAAACTCCTGCAGCTCACCAACTGCTGGCACCAGAGTGGCCACTGGGGGCGCCTGGCGCCTGCCCTCTTCACCCCTCCCCACCACTGGACACCCCCCCCGACCCCCACCCCTGCAGGATTCATCCAACTGCTCAGACTCCCGCCAGAACTGCTTGGCCAGAAGTGCCCTATGGGCAGTTCACTCAGAGCTTAAGTCTAGTACAGGGGCTCCTCAGTCTGCTCCCGCAGACACAGCAGGATGACCTCTGCGCTCTTACCCTCCCTCCGTGGGCCAGTGTGCTAAAAGAAGAAAACAGAGAGTGTCTAATCCTGCCCTTTTGCCAGAGGAGGGCATATTTCTCATAAAACAAACCATTTAAGCCCACAAATGAAGGGGTCTTGTCTGATTTAGCCTTGGAAACAGCCCTTCTGCTGGCACTGAGCCCAGGCAGGCCCAACCTCTTTCTCCAGTTCCCCTTCCAAGCACAGAAAGTCCCAAATGACAACTAGAGGCCACCTTCTGCCTTCAGGAGCCTTCTGTAACAGAACTGCCTGGGCTTTTCCACCATGTCAACAGTGACCCACAGTTACCCCAACATTCTCTTAAGGTGAGCATTAGCCACTTCATGGAAGGCAAATCACTATCAGGGCTCAAAAGGCAGAGCCACTGAGAAGACACAGGATATGAAGAGATTCCATGGATGAAGGATCCCTCCAAGAAGAGCAGAAAGAACAAAGTGATTTGCCCCATTGAAGGCCTGAGCACAGGTGAGAGGCAACAAGATGTGAAGAAGGTTAAAAGTTGAATCAGTATCTCCAGCTGCTCAATTAGGGGAAGGAAACAGCAAAGAGCAGGTTTGGGGAGGGAAAGTCCCCTCTTTTCCCCCAATCTCTACAGCTAAGAGCACTCACCGTAAAAGAGTCGTTGGGGTTCCTCTGTCACCCCACAAGGCAGCATGACACCCTGGCTTGGGGAGGCTGGACTGAGGGTCTGAGTGGCCTTGTCTTCCTGGCTAATGGGCCGGAGCCCAGGGCCACAGCAGTGGGTAAGAGGGAAGAGCTGAAGCCGGCTGAGGGGGCAATCCAGCTGGCTCTGGGCAAACAGGTCAGCAGAGAGCAAACTCCCAGACTGTGTCCCTGGCTCCCCATCTTCTGGCTGAAACACATCATCTTCCAGCTCCTCCACACACTGAGGTGGCTCCATTTCTCCTGTCAGGGAACAGTGGAGGCATCTGGGATGCTGCCCCATCAGGCCAGACTTAGGGCTTCCCATCCCTTCTTTCTTTCCTGCTCCTTTTCTTACTTGAGGGAACCAAGTCAGCTTCTGATGACGTTCAACCTTGCTAATAAAGCACTGCCAACACTCAGTCCCTAAATATGGACCACCTCCATGGTGGTCAGGGGCCCTCTACACCTCTTCTCCACACCCACCAGACCCACCGTTCCCCAAACTCCTCTGACTTAGGATGGTCACAAAGTTTGACTCAAGGTTAAGAACAAGAGTAAGGGTAGGGTCTGTTGCTACCAGCATGCAGGGTACCTGGGAAAATATAAGCAAGACTAACTTCTGTGAGTGGCTGTGGGGGCACAGAAAGGAAGAATGAGTACTATATAATGTTCACCCCCAACACACACACCACAGCACCACCCCTAAGAAGGAACCTCTAAGCTCTCATCTCAGTCTGAGCTGAGCTCTAGGCTCAGCAGCAAAAACAAAAGCCAGCAATCCCAGAGCAGCCAGGTTCCCTCCAAACGTGCTAAGCCCCGCCCTACTGCCCATCCACAATGTCTCCACCCCCTCCTTGCACAACACAACAAACAGGCTCTGGGGTATGGTGAGAGTGTCCAGGAAGAGGGGAACCTAAGTTAGTCACTGCAGTTGCCCTCTCAGCTTTCCTGGGGTGGAGCAGAGCAGAGCTGTCCACCCACCACAGGTTGGTTCCAAGGGTAGGACCAGCCTCTAGCAAAGTGCCCAGCTCATTCTACACACGAATCTCCCTGACTTCAAATCCTCATCACTCAGCCTCTCATTCCTGCCAGAGCTGAACCTGAGATAGGTGCAACGTGCCTCACAGAAGGAAGTGAAATTCAGCCCTCTCGCTGTGCTCCCACTTTCTGCCTACACTACACAGGCTGTTTCTTGGTGATAAGCTCCACCTGATGGTTCATGAAATTCTGCACTTTAAGTCACCCAGCAGCTTGAGTTTACAATACAGCCCCGCCTCCCTTAGGGCACCCACGAGGCAACCAAAAGCAGCAGCAAGCACCAAAATGGTTAAGGCAACCTCAAGGCATCGTTTGTCCTTGTCAGACTCCACTAGCGATTCCCAGGGGTTCCAGTCCCCCCACTGTCCTGTCTTTGAAGTACAAGCAAGTGACCTGTGGGTTTAATTCTTTACAGAAATCTCGGTTGAATTCAGAAATTTTCCCTTTCTGAAAAGCAAGCTCTGGGAGGTGATTGCTTCACCCCTTCCTCCACTCCATCCTACCCCTGAGCTACCTGTGGTCCTGTCTCTGCCCTCTCTCCTGGAGAACGAGGCTATTACATGCTAGGATGGCAAAGCAGACGCCTTTAGATAGCTTTTCCCAATGGGCAAGGGGGTCTCCAGCTTATCAGCAATAGAAAATAAAGTTCCCAGATGAAAGAACCAAGTCCTGGCACCGGGCAGGGGTTCTCCTCCGGTCCTTCCACCTCCCCCCTGCAAGCTGGCAATCCCAACCTAAGAAGGGGCCCTCGGGAGCCAATCACAAGCACGAGTCATTGTCTTGGTGCTTCCTTTGAAGCCTATCACCTCCCCTCCCCCTCCCAGCAAAGCCCCAAAGTTCAACCCCTGCCTAGACTGGACAGTGGGGGAGGTGCAGCCAGAGGGTGTGGCTCTGCAAACGCGGGGACCCCTTCCCACTCTCCACCAGAACTGCAGGTGGCTCTCCAGTCTTTGGAAACCTCCGGAGGGATACTAGGCAAAGACAAATATAAACTGGGTAAGAGTAGAGACCCCCCAGCTTCCCTGAGCTAAAGTGGTAATGTCCAGACTAATAGAAAGAGGGCACTTCCTGAGAGTACGGCCAGAGAATGCTTTACTCCTGGCAAAGGGATTAAAATCCGCTGGACCTATCCCAGAGCCTACGGGTTCCAACAAGGATGCTGAACTTAAAACTCCTCCTCTCCTTAGGAGATGGCTTTAGTCAGACACCTTGAGCCACGATAGCGGCTGAGATCTCAGAACACACACACACACACACACACACACACACACACACACACACAATGTATATAGTGGATGCATTCAACTGGTTGGAAGAGTTTACCCATTGCCTGGGTGACTCCAGGAGTGAGTCTCAGCTTCCGAGTCGTGATGCCAGGGCTCTGCACCAGGGTCCAGCGTGACGAGCAATCGGGGGCTTGGCGCCCAGATTCGATTGGGAAGGAGGGGGGAAAGTCCAGCTGTTAAGAAGAGGGGCCTTCAGACTTCGCGAGGAGGCAAGATGCCCAACTCGCGACCCTACCCTAAAGTCAGACCCGGAGGCCGGGGCGTTCTCGGGCGCTTAGCAGTGCACCCCAGGATCACTCGCCCACCTACGCCCAACACCGTGTTCCAAAAGCTTCCCGCAGTCCCTCTTGGAACAGCACCCTCTGATTTGGGCTCTGTACCCCGTTTGCGCACCCCGGCACCCCAGTTCCTCATGGTCACCCCAGACGCCCGCGACCCTTCCCCGGCCCCCACGTTCCGCGTGACTCCGCTCCCCACTTCCCCGAGGAGGTGAGTTCCAACTCCGCCCGGCCCCCGGCCGCCCGGGCGCTCACCAGGCTGCGGCGGGAGGCGGGTGGCGCAGGGTGCGGCAGCGGCGGCTGCCGGCACGAGCTGGCGCGGGAGGAGGCCACGGCTCAGCGCGCGGTATTGTTTCCAAAATACGCCCGCTCGGGGCATCCCGCAAACAGCTGATGAGGCCCCGCCCCTTGTCGCGTCACGCCAACCACTGACCAATGGCGAGTTGCGCTCCAAGTCCCAGGCTGGGCAGCTGCCAGGGACAGTCACCAATGTACGAACCTTCCCTTGGAAACACTATAAGGGGCCGAGCAAATTTCTGACCTTTGCTAGAGGCGCAATTGGAGCTCTGGAGCGGGCAAGAATCGCGTTCCTCATGCTGGCCGTACAAGCACCAGGGAGTCCCCTAGTTCTCCACTAGGTGGGGAGACCCGGCGCCCAAGAGACTTGTGTTTTCTTGGGAATGGGCTGAATTATTGCGAGGCTTCCAGAAAAGCAGAGCCGGAGGAGGCGGGGAGCTTTTGGCCGCGGTTTTGCAGCGACTAGCGAGTGCAAAGAGTAGCCTGTCTGGTTGGAAAAACGCCTTCCCGCCTACAGGCGGGCCAGAAGAAAACTCCAGCCCCGAAGCCCTAAGAAGCTGGAGAACACATGTGCCTGCCCTTGTAACAGTATGACATTTGGATCCAGCGCATCCAAAGTTGGGCGTTCACGTCCTCTTCTTGACTGGGGGAAAACACTGGCGAAATGCTGGGGCAGCCTGGGCAGCCGACACACACCCTGTTTATGGCAGCATCCGGAGACTGCTGGGGCTGAGGGGAGAGCAAAATGCAAACTGTGGAGAAGTCTAAGGACGACTGCACGTTTCCTGAGCACCTACTTTGTGCCAGGTACTGGACTAAGTGCCAGAGCTCTAGTGTCTGACCTCAGGGAGCTTATACTCCACCTGAAAATAATGGAAAGCAGCGTGAATGGTATTCCCTTTCAGAGGCAATAACGGCTGAGCGGTGCCAAAGAATACAGAATGCAAAGACTCTAGAATTGGTTCTTGAAGAATGGGGAAATTTTCAAGAAGGAAAAGCAAATAAAACAACCCAAGCCCGGAGAGAGGGTCAAGAAGCTAGAATAAAATGAAATCTTGTCCGGGAAGCAGGGGCAAGCCCCTTCACCAAACCATGCACCCTGATTTAGGAAAGGGAAGTGTGGGCAGGTAGGTTCAGATCAAGATTGCAGAGGGAACCTTGGAGTGCTAGGCTGAGGAATGTGTATTTTATAGAGGGGCAGCAGCAAAGATTTTATACAAAATGAGTTTTAGGAAAAATTTTAAAAAAGAGAGAACAGAAATCAGTGAGCTGAGCCAGTCTAGATAGGCCATGATTGAGGCATGGCCCAACCAGAGCAGTTGGACTGGGCAACTCAACCCACCAGTCTGCTCCATCTGGGTTGTAAACTCGGGCATATAGAGATATAAATTAGGTGGAACTGGAGCCCCCAGCCTGAAATGTCTTTGTATTGATTTTGTATGTATATATATGTGTGTGTGTGTGTGTGTGTGTGTGTGTGTGTGTGTGTGTGTAATCTTTATGTGCATCAAGCTGGCCTCAAACTCTGTATAGCCAACGATGGCCTTGAACTCCTTAACTTCCTGCCTCTACTTTCCAAATGCTGGGATTGCAGGCATGCACCAAAAAGTCAGGCAGGCTCTTTGTGCCTTTTCACTATCTATCCTTTGCCTTGTTCTCTCAGAATGCACCTGAAGGAAGTAAAGAGTGAAGCAGACATACAGAGGACTGTGGTCTATGGTTGCTAAGGTAGGAAAATACTATGTCTAGAGGACAGAGATGAGGGAAAAAAGAAAGAGGGGAGAGTCAAGGTTGGCCAGCAGCCCAGTCCTACCGGGAGTTGATAAATGTCCAACAAGAGGTACTGGAACCAAAAGAAGGCACATTATTTTACCTCATTATTGGCCAGGAGGTTTGGCCAAGTAGGTATGTCAGAGGGTCAGGGTGACCTTGGACTCATGCCACATGTAGGAAGATGAGGAACCAGTTGATAAGAAAAGCACTGGGAGCCCACCTCTGGTCCCATGAATCCCTCCTTCCCTCCATCTTCATCATTGGCTTTCTGCTTGGCCCAGTGCCTCAGGCTGCCTGGGATACCTAAGGGCATTTTTTGGAGTCATGAGTAGAACTGAAGGACAAAGCGGCCTTCTGAGTCCTCACAGGCCCTGAGGAATAACGGTCAGCCTAGCTTACCTGTTAAAATCACCTACTTCACCCCAGCCCTGCATGGCAGAATTGGGTCATGAGGCTGGGAAAGTCATGAAAGCAGGGTTTTCACATAGAATTCACACTCACCAGGCCCCCCAGAGTCTTGAGCATTCGGTCCTATGACCCTCTAAAAATGGTTAAACTGGGTTGGTTGGGTACACACACAAAGGAATCTGTCACTCTATTGAAGATTTAAAAGTGGCTGAGCATGGTTGTACACACCTATAATCCCAGCCACTGGGAAGACTGTGGCAGGAGGGTCAGGAGTTTGAGATTGACTTGGACTATATATGGAGATTCAGACTAAAAAAAAAAGCGGCTAAAAATCACCCTTATAGGGAACCGGACTGAAGAACTCAAAGAGATCATTTTAGTGGACCTGGGAAGTTTGCAAGCTGGGAGCAGGCTTGAGCAATCTAGTGATACTGCTTTCTTGGACCTTTCCCAAGCCTCCCCAGCCTCTGGTTGGTTCTAAAGGACACCTGTGGCTTGGTCTCCAGTGTGCTCAATCTTTAGGGTCAAGCAGTAGAAGGCCCAGCCTTTAGTGGGAGGGACCAGAGAAGGGATGTCAGGGATAGGGTCAGGGAGGTCAAGAGCCTCACTCCCACCTCTCATCACTGTCAAAGCAGACCCCTCCCCTCTTTGACCTTTCCCCCCTTTCAGAACAAGGACTAAGTGTCAGGACCTGCTGGCTGGGGATCTGGGCTCTGAGTCCCCTGACCCACAGTAGCTGCATCAGGAGTAGAGAAACCTGGGCTTATGACTAGCCTTTAAGCAAATGCGAATTACAGTGTAGCAGCCTCTGATATTTTGGAGAATGTTCTCTCTTTCTCTTCCCACTTCCTCACTCCAATTTGTTCTCTACTGACTGGTGCTAGGACTGCAAAGAGAGTCCCCAGAGAAAAGCATTGGCCAAGAGGCTAAGAGAGCCTGACAATGTTGGGGGATACAGAGATAAGAGCCAGCCCTCTGTAGAAAGCAGGCAGGAGCCCTGGCCATTGTTTCACCTGGCAAGAGGAACGGGCTCTGAAACTCCAGTAACTGGATCGCTGAGAAGTGTGGTTTTTAAAAACCCAGCTGACAGCTGAATACTAGGAATTAGCAGGCAAGCCATCCTAAGCTTACTGAAGTTTGTAACTCAACCCCCAGAGAAGGGTTAGATTGGAAACTGATTTATGGGTAGGGTGGGGTCTTGGTGGGGAAGTCCATGGTGCATTCTTCTGAACTTCCTTCAGGAGAGATCAGGCATAAAAGAAGACTAGAGACCTCCAGGACTTCGGGGTCCTTCCTTTACTGGACTGGTCCTAACACAGGCAATTTCTCTCTTTGTGCATCTTTCCTACCAGAAAATATGTCCTTTTTTCTGAGTTGCAGATTGTGTGTGAGAAAGAGACAAACACACAGAAAAAAAGAATACACTAGCCAGGTATGATGACAATTCCTGTAATCCCAGAAGTGGAGAGGTGAGGCAGGAGGATTGCCGTGAGTTCAAAGAACATACCAGAACAACACTTGCAAATTGTGCAAGTGAAGAGGCTTGATCTTCTGGTCAATGAGATCACTACTCACTAATTATGGACTCAGTGGGATTCAGACAGAACAAGCAGGTGCTGAGAAGAAAGCATCTTGGAATACAGAGACTAAGGACTAAAGCACCATACTAGAACCCAAAACAACCTAAAAGATGGGTGTGACGTTCAGGATCGTGTACACTGTGATATTCAGCATATGTTCAGTTTTATTTTGGAGACCACTCAGTACTTATTTGCTGAATGACTAAATGAATGTACAGTTTCCCATTCAAAAAAGTACAACTAGTTTTATATTACAAAGTTGAAAGACAGCAGCCTTGGGGGGATCTCCAATAAGTAAGTGTCTTTTCTATATTGTGTTTGCTCTTAGAATGCTTGGCCTTCCTTAAGTTCTCTTTAGCAGAAGGAATCCCTCTAAGAAGGCAAGGGTGATGCCAGCTACTCCTGGTCTTCCCAGACCACTCCTCCACCCTTTGGACCATAATGATTTTGATTGTCTGTGCAGACAACTTACAGAAAAACCCCAACCCAGGTACCAGAGCAGTGTCCTGGGCTCCCATTTCACCTGCTGCCCAGTCATGAAAAAGAAGTTAGCTTCCCCAAGGGCTGAAGAGATCCAATCAAAGTATATTTCCTTTCACTGCACTGACACCAGTATGGCAGCCTTTTAGGGGCAAAAGTATATTGCTATGTCACTCCATTTTGGGATTGGTAGGGAAATGGCAGGTTTTTCCAGCTGAGGCCAGTGAGGTGGACTGCTATTAAGGAAACTGATACTGGGAAGAGCTGGGGACCAGTCCCTCCTGACTTAATGTCCCCTAGGTTTTCAACCTGATGCTCAAGAGAGTCTGGGCTGAGATGGTGAATTAAACCAGCTGCTTTCTAGTCAAACCCTCGTCCACTGTCCTAGAGTAGGAAAGGGTCTTTCTCTAGCAATGAGGGAAGAATGAGAGTTTATCAAACGTATAATGATGCCTGTCAGTGTCTGTGCTAGGGGCTAAAGGTACAGGTACAATCCCTGTGTACCCCTGAGCATATCATCACATGACACACTATACATAGGGTCAAAGAGACAGTACGAATAGAATCTGGGTATGGCAGGAAATTTCTGAATTGCACAAGCAGTAGAAAAACAGCCTTCTCAAGGAGGCTGAGCTTCCTTCCAGATGGCCTTGCCTTTGTGTATACAGAGATATAAGGTCTAATATCATGTCCCACTTATTCCCTGCACCCAACACTCATCTGTCAAGTAAAGCAGAAAGGGCTCCCTGCTAAACATCAGATCCGGGTTCTACTCCCAGTTCTGCCACCACCAAGTGACCTTCCAACACTCACACTTAAGTCTTTGCCCCATGGACTCAGAAGT